GTCTAGTAATTTTGGTAGCCGATTTCTGCTTCGTCTCTCTTTTATTTTCCATTCGGATTTCTTTCTTTACAATTTTACTCTTGATTTGGTATAACTCCTCTACTTCAAGACTACTGCTTTCTTTTCCACCAGTAGATTTGTTTTTATTTTATATTTTAATTATATTGACACTGAAACATGTTCAATATTTCTTTGCGTGCACGCAAAAAACAGAAAAAATCATACCTGGTGTTGTACAAATAATATTATTTTTTTTCTTGATAATAGAGGAATGTCTTCGGCAACGAATGTTTTGCACCTCCACATGTCTTACACATAAACAATAGAATAATTCCATTGGACAACTTATAAACTCACACTATTTACTCACAAGATGAAAAAGGAAATTAATTCATTGATCAATTTCAGATTGACGTGCTACAACGCTCTAGCCCTTTTTTATAAGCTCTAATGCATAAATAAAAATATCTAAAAATACAAAATACAATCATATCAAATTAAACGCAAAAAGTTTCCTTTGAAAAAGGTAATAATTTTTATTTGATTCCAAAAATAATTTTTCGTTCCATAATGACATTTTTAATTAATAAACTTTCATCTATAAAGATAAATCTCCTATCAGATTTTTAATTTTTAGTCAAGAATGAATATTTTTTAATTATTTTGTTTATTTTCTTCGGAGTAGATGTTGATATGTGATATTTTATTATATATAAAAAATATTTTAAATTAATCAAATTTATTTAAATAGAAAGATTAAATTAATTATGTATTATATGCTTTCATTGCATAGGAGGCCTCTAATACATATAAGTGATGATAAAACATTTTGTTCAGGCCATACGTTCTAATACCAATCTAATGTAGGATGAGTAACTAAAATGTTTTGATTCCATACACTATAATTAGTTTGGTTAATCAATCAATTAGAATGTTCGCAAATAATATTTGTTCACTAAATCAAATCATTAAGAATGTTTTTCAATCAGGTTATAATATTTTCTATTCAACTAAACTAATTATAGTGTTCTTGAATATAATCAAATATTTATTATTATTGAATTAAAAATACGATATCCTTATTAAAAAAATGAATTAACTTAATATTAATTGATTCAAATTCTTATAAATATTAACTATTAATTTTATTTTTTATATATTAAGATTTAATAAAATTTTATATTTGAGATTTCATAAGTGATTTTAAATGAATTTTGAAATTATTATGACATGTTTTAAGGTATTACAAGTTTGTTTATGAACCAAATTTAAGCATTTTTTTTTGAAATTTTTATAAGATTTATTTTTTATTTATTAAAATAAAGATCCTAACATATTTCAAAATAAATCAAGATAAAATTCCTATTTTTTCCACTTTTTATTAAATTTAGGTTCAAATATTAAAAAAAAACCATTAATATTTATAATGATTTATTATGAACGAATTATAATACAAATAATATTGTGACATTATTTGGTTTCAATATTTTTTATGAAATCACAGTATTTCTGGACAATTAAAAATATATATTTATTAAAAATATTATTATAAAGCACTATAATGGTATTTAAAAATACTATAATAGCTTATCGATTTAGCCTAAAGAAACTATTTTATAAGGAAAGGAACAATCTTTAAGAAATATAGAATAAAAAATATAGAAATAACGAGTGCTATACGAAAAAAAATCGAAAACTTGAGATTTTTCAAAAAAAAAAAATCACCCTTGACTAAATATCACGGTCGGTTACCAGATGAACGACACGTATTTGGAATCCCAGGCAGCCACATCTTGACTCTGTGGTAGGTTGCATTACTACATCTCGCTCTCAAGTTTCAATCCAACGACCAAACTACTGCAGTCCAACTCGCCCTTCGAGCTGTTCACATTTTACCTTTTCTCGTCGAAAATCAAACCACAATTATTCCCTTTTCTGTGCAAGGGAATAATTCTTATATAGATATTCTCTGAGATCCAACGACCAAACTACTGCAGTCCAACTCGCCCTTTTCGCGTACTGAGATCCATCACCAATATAGATATTCTCAACAGAATTCTTATAATCACTTACATATCAATAAACCCTAAGTGTGATGCGATTCAACAAAACTGAGATGCAAGAGATGCATTGTGGTGACCACTCTCTAAGGTTATTAGACTAAGGATAGGCCAAGAGTCTGAGCTTATCAAATTTTACTACAAACCATTTATTCCATATAGTTGGCCAAGCTCGGAAACACCTTTTGCATGCAAGCATGGCAACTCGTAGCGTTGCACTTCAGGATTAATCAATCTTACGTCTCTTTGTGCAATGCAAAGTAGCCACCAATTTAAAATAAGCTTCGTCAATAATACTTTGCGCACTGCAAAGTACTTTTGTTTGATTAATTAGTCCCAGGTGAGCCAAAGAGAGTGAAAATGCATCAACAAACTCAGCCAATGGATTTTGAGCTATACCATGTGCTGTGTTGAAACGGCATAATGCAACGTTCACGAAACATCAACATCACCTACCAAGTGATTGTGCTTGTGTTCAGTGACATGCTATAAATGAGAAGAGCAAACAAAAAGAACATACCTTTGGTGGATGGAGAGGCTGCAAACACAAAAAAAAGGTTAGCACCTGCGAGAATATTTGAACTTCGCATGCATTGCACGAACTCCTCTGCGTATGTTGCACATTTCTTGTTCGGCAGTGCCTTTAATTCGTTAGCCTTTGAAGTCTGATACATTGGCAAGCTAAGATTCTAGGTATGTAAAAACATGAAATGAAAATGACGATAAGAAATCTTCTAGAACTTGTAGCAAACCATACGACTCAGCTGCCAAGAAATTAGCTTGCAATCAATCGAAAGCATTCTTATTCGATAACTCTTATACCACCAAAGCCACATTATAGAAACTGAGTTATCGTATAAGAGGTATCAAGCGTCTCTATTAAAATATTTGAATTGATTAATATATTATTATATAAGTGATAGATTTCAAATTCAAATTCAATATGTACATCACTTAATGTCATAATTATTTTCAAGACAAATATTGAGTATTTCATATTACTAGATAATTCGAGAATTTCAACACAGCACAAGTATAACTTCCATTGGGTTTGATGCGGAGCAACAAAGTGCCACTCTGGCTCAACTAGTCACGTAATCTCTCCAGCCTATTCTCATCTCAGCCATGTCCTCCGGGGATCTTTTCTTCCCTATGATACAAAAGCCTTCGGATGTGCGTACGCGCCAACCGTTCAAACTTCATACTAGCTCGTTTTGTGGGGACCACAGCGGTCCCACTGGCTGAAGCCAAGGGAAGATGAGACTGAGACAGTCTGTCCCTCGTACGCTGATCAGCCGGTGATCGCCACTTTTCCTACCAACTAATACGGCTCGATTCGTACCTCGGAGGCTGATCAGAGGGTGATATCACAGAGACCCCACCGAGTCTAACCAAGGGAAAGTTTGAGACCGACACATTCTGTCCCTCGGATGCTGATCAGAGGGTGACAGCCACTTTCTTCCTACCTTTTTTTTTCGTTTTCCTCTTCCTACCTATCAATGCGACTTCATTCGTGGGAACCGAAGCAAGCCCACGGAGTCGAGCCAAGGGGAGGTGAGACCGAGACATTCTATCCCTCGGATGCTGATTGGAGGGTGATAAAGCAGTCAGGTTAGGATAAAAATAGGTTACACGGCCGAACAGTCGGCGGCGTAGAAAAAATGAAACAGGATGGTCTGATGCTAAGCACCATGTTAATGGTGCCGGGGTATTATCCAAGTTGGAATTCTAAACGGCCATTTCCACTGCGTGCCTTGTTATTGGCAATCTCAGGGCGGGCCTCAGGCGCTCTCGAGGTGAGAAAGGCTTCCCCCGATGGCCCTCGTCTTCGACCATTGAAAGAACTAAACCAATAGCAAGAACTCAAAGAACACCACAAAGAAAGACGAGAGAAGTGTTCAAGCAGAGAGGAGAAGAGAAGTGGAGAGAGAGAGAGAGAGAGAGGACGCGGCCATATAGCAGTGTGCTCACGTCGAGGGTCAATTCGGCTCCAGCCATGGGCGCATGTGCGAGAGCGACATCACCGACTCCCTTGTCCGTCCCTCTTCCTAAAGTCCCTCGCTGCCGTGGCCACCGTCCCAGATCCTCCCCGGTTCCAACCAAACCCACCCCAAGGGTTGGATCGGGGCGCTGCAGTTCAAAGAGGAGCAGTACTACTTCTCGATCGCATATCCTTACCTCTATCTAGTGAACACCTAAATGGATGGGCGATCCTAATCCCCTGACGCCCCAGTTCCTCCTTCTCGATGCCGAAGCCGAGCTTGATTACGACTCGTCCAAGCCAATCTATAACTCGCACACCACCTGCTCCAAGAACCACACAGCAGATCCACAAGGAAACTTCAGATCTACAAATTTTTCCTCACTAATGTGCCATACCTTCCACGATCCTCCGTGATCTCGGATAGATCGGAGCGGATCTGTCGGAAGAGGTGAGAGAGGTGACGGACGGAGCAGCGGCATCGTCGGCTGAGCAGACAGATCTGGAGGCGAGGATGATGCCGTACAGGGAGATGCGGAAGAACGCCAAGAAGGCAGAGAGATCGACGAAGAGGTCGATCGCATCTCCTCTGTCGCAACCGCCGCGCCGTGCTATCCTTTTGAGAGGGAGCCTCTGTTCTGGCCTCGGTGTCTATATATAGTGGAGAGAGCTAACACGGGCTCTGTTTGCGACACTGCACGACTCTTGATGCGTGATTTTGGAGGGAAGCGGATATTTTGGAGCCCTTTCGGCTTTTGAATTCCGTGTGGCACAGAATATAAGCATGCAAAATAAATGCTAGGAATTTTATATGAAATATATATAACAGCTTTGTTGCGTGGCCAAGAACAAGATGAGGATGAGGACATGATGAGTGAGCACGAGGACTCACTCTCATGCTTCAATCAATTTCATAGGAATCCTCACAAAATCTCAAATTCCATGACCAAGATTTTTGAATTAGTGATCAACACATGATATAAACGAGAATACTTCTGTAGATGATGGGGGGAATAGATGAAAGGAAAAGATTGATTTATCAGTATCAACAACAACATTGAATGTGTTGCCAGTTTGGCGAGTACACGCGTAAGTCTTCTAAAGGTTGGCATAAATGATGACCGAGCTGGTTGCCATAATACACTTTTGTCGATGTTTGATTCGATAGCTTACGATGGCAGCCATCATCCATCCCCTTCTTCTTTCAACCATAGCAAGTAGTGACGTCCAGGTTTTAGCTATAATTTGATCTGTAGGCAGCTCTAACCCCATTGCAATTTCTGTAAAGGATTAATATAATGGGAACCTTCTTAACAAGTCTTTGTCCAATAATTACCGTCGTACTTACCATTAAAAATTCCAAGAAATGATTGAGCTGGTAATTTTCATGCAGAAAATAAATAATTCAAAGGACAAACCTTCAATTCAGCTCAAGAATTTGCATTTGCAGCTCAAAATCTCTGAATCTGAAGAACCAAAGTTACTTACAGATCAATCCAAGGAAGGAACAAAAGGAAGACTTTTACTGTTGGTTTACGCCTTGCTCCTCGCTGCTATTTCCGACGCCTTGGCGTTGGGTGCTGTCTTTGTTCTTCCATTCCGTCGCGGCTTCGCGGGTGTCGTCGCCTTCGTCCGAGGAGGTAGCGGCGCGGCTGGCGACCGGGGTCGCGAGGAAGGTGGGCTTGCAGTCGCCGGCCATGATGACGACGACGCTCTCCTCGCAGAGCGGCGGGGGCTTGGCAGCGTCGCCACCGCTTGCTGGACCGTCCACTTCGCGGTCACGGGCGCCGCGGTCGTTGCCGGATTCGAGGTAGCTGGCGAGCTTCCAGTAGGAGCAGGCGAGGATGAGGAAGGCGAAGCCGATGAGACCCAGCATCACCGCCAGCGCGCAGAAGAGGTAGGGAACAGGCGACTGCCACGACGAGTGCGGCGGGCCCGACGAGGCGGGGGACGGCGACTTGGCGGCGGAGGCGCCACCGCTTGTGTTAAATTCGCCTCCGGACCTCATTAAGAGAGAGAGAAAGAGAGAGAGAGAGAGAGAGATGGCCTGCACTCTACTTTAGTGGGGAGGTGTATCTGAACGAAAGCGGATATCTATAGTTCGGGGATGTCATGAGTGAAATTATTTTAAACTAACATGATTAAAATATTCGAGAATTATATTTACTCCGTAAAACGTTGGCTGTACTGCCCGTACGTACTCTTGATATGGACACGCATTTTTTTTATCTACTTGAGCATATTTCATGTAAACCTAATATGTCGGTGAATTTTGCCGTCTAATTTCATAGCCAAAAAAAAAAAAAGAGTTCCATGCAACACTTAATTTACGTGAGTTTTGAACGAGTCAGGTTTGGATTGAAGATTAGAATTAGTTAGTCAAATTTAAATTTAAATTCAGATGAGTACTCAATCAGCTATCACCCCTTTCAACACTGAATCATAGTTCATTCAACCTTACTGCACTACAGCTCAATGATTCAATTAAAGGATAAATACTCCCTATTCACGAACCTCGCTTTGAAGGCACCGATGCTTTTGGATGCCTAAACATCAATTTGGGTGCTATTAATTGTGTGCTTTATCAATAGAGGCCCCACCTCTGTTCATATTAGGCATCCTGATACATCTCATTCACCGCACTAGTAGACAAGAAGGTGGTGGCCTCACCTCTGTCAATTTCTGTTTGGTGTGCTTTTTGATCTGAAAGGGATGCATTGGGAAATGTATGATCGCCTATTGCCAATAGGGGCTTCGTATATCCTTCCATTTAGGTCTCGTTTTGTATATGTTTCTTTAACTCAAACTAATATTATACATGTCATGATAAATTTCAATACACCACATGCATATATATCCTCTATGTACGTTACACATATATTTTCAATATATATAATACCCTAATATTTTCAATAATGAGTCTTAAATGTGAAATAAAATTTCAACCAAATGATAAACTTAAAACAGACCAATCACAATGGCATATATATGTATGTGTATATGCAAGTTTTTAGGCTTTAAAGAATATATATATATAGAGAGAGAGGGATAAGTATACAAATCATTTGCTTTAGAGGGATATACAAGTAATTTTATCCAGACAATGTTATATTGTCTCAGTGGCACTAAAGTTTGATGCATCTTTCCAGAAACGCATCATGTATTGGCCGTGCATGAGACGATACAAACAGATGGACTCCCTAACTCCAAGTTTGGCCAAGAGCAAGCCCATGGTTTCTTTTTTGGTGTTCCAATGGTTCGGCGACAAACGGATGGGTAGTTCCAAAATAATATTGATTACCGATTCCAGTCATATTCATTTAGCATATTCATGCGTAACCTTAACCCTGTAATATTGTCATGAAAAAGGAAAAGAAAGACATGAATTAGTTTCTACGTACAGACCTAATCTGTAAGGACGAGGACTTGAAAGGGAGCATGTCTACAGTTGTGTCAAAAATAAGCTTGACTAGGTTTAGTTTTATTTCCTTAATAGACCTCTAAGCATCTCTTGTGGAGATGGAAACACCAGGAAGAAAAATTTCAATAATCAGAATTACATGATTATGTAGTAGATTAGTATATGATCTGAACTTTATTGATGATGAAGAAGCATATCATGCATAGCAAATATATAAGTATGAAATATATGGAAGAAACCAACAGATAATTAGAGAGGTATATCGGTAAGCTCACCACGATGCACTTACATTCAGAGCGTCGGGATCAGGTCCTCCGCCTGAAAGAAGAGCACAGGATCCGTGGTACCCTGCTGCACGTAGTTTCTGGCCATCTCAAAGCACCATCCAGCCATGCATCATAAGCAGTTCAAGTAAACAGTGGCAAAGCTATACAAAGCTGATGTAAGTCAACAAGGGATAAACATATAAAATATAACTTGATAATCTTCATTATGTAAAGCGAGTGCTACCTCTCTTTCAAAAAAGATGAATGCTTTTTGATTGCGTAACCATGCGGAGTATGCATTCCTGTTCCTCCCAACCCACCAAATGCCACTTGAGTGGAGGATAAGGAGGGCTGTGCTGCTGATGGGAGAAGTGATGGAATCTGTCGTCACAAGCCAAGATTGCAAGGCACATCAGAATTACCTATCCGATCATTGTGCCCATTGAAAGTAAATTAAAGCAGGAGGAAAATAAAAGAAAAGGATCCTTGCTACTGATCCAAGTCATGTCTCTTTTTCTTTCACTATGGAAAGAACAACTGATGAATTTGATAGACTCCCATACGTGATCCATCATGAAATATTTCACATAACGGATACATAACACACGAAGCATCTCATATTGGTCTCATCATGACGTGAAGACTAAGCAGGTGAGGAAACAACGTCATCATGCAAGGCCCAGGAACTCATTCTGTATGCTTCTGTCATAGATGCTCATGTCCATGAAGAAACAAGGTGAGAGATGCACTCGTGGCTTTTAGTCGTTGTATTTTCCAATGCTTACCAGAGAGCATGAATGCAGCAAGTGTTTGAGCTATTAAAAACAAAGATAATCTAAATGTTATGTAATCATAGGTGATATGGTCCAAATGCAATGAGTAAGCTGGACAATTGCATCACAGTATTAGAGATTGGTGGAAGTCATTTTCTCATTGAACAAGACATTAATGTCTCTGTCAGCAAATAATAACATATGCAGCTGGAAATATGCTATTTTGCAAGAACAACATTAAATTAAAAGATTCACATATGCACATACTGTCTCATGAAGAGATCATTATGGTGGATAATACACTCCAAATGGTTCTGTTGTAAGGGAAATAATTGCCAGCTCCATCATGAGTAAAACAAGAGCAGTGATGTGACCAGACCCAAAAAAGATTCTTAAAGGGTGGTTTGACAGAAGCATAAGACTGTGAGCCAAGTGGATGTCTCACCAAAAAAAACAGTCATAAAACATGAGTGGTTTGGTCGAATTACAGAAACCTGATGGCTTATAATTGGTGAAGCAAACCCTGATTAGTCGTAATTCTTAAATCATGTTTTCCAAATATATGTTTTGACAACTTTGTCTATGCTAATTAGTTAGTTTGGTCATCAGCTATGCATTCCAATTCACCTGAAGAATTTGAATGCAAGTCACTGTAGGTTTGATTATCACATAAAGCTATATTTGTCTACCTATGGAATTATCACCAAGGATTTGACTTGTTCATGTGTGTCACTGTCACCTGGAGCATACAGGGAACTAAAGTTTTGATGGTGTATGATTTCAACATCAAATTCAGATCTTCTGTTTTCCCTGTTTGCTTGCTACTCATGCGAAAAATGTTATAGTTAGTACTGTAATTTGTGGATGACAACTTGGAATTGAACATTTCTTAGGTAAGTCTATATTGCATGAGTAGATTACTTGGAATCAAACACCTTGAGTATAGCAGGCAGGGAAAGATAAATTTATGGCAGTAAATAGAAGATTTAACTTTATAATAGTATTCAGCAATAAAGATGACAATTACAACTAATCATAGTTTTCGCCCTTCTGTTTCATATGATTAGTGCCATTTATCACATGTTGTCTTATGTAAACAGGATATTGCTACAACTTAATATTTTCTGAACCAACAATAAATCATGGAACCACAGCTTCTGTAAGTAGCCTGCTGCAATATTTACTTATGGATGAATTGTCTGTGAGTATTTATCACTAGATTATGTTATTCTTCAAAGTTATATAGGTATACAGAAAGAAATATCGATAACAGCAATGTCAAAGTGAGCAAGTTAGCAACATACATTCATCTCTGCATTCAGGAGAAAGGATTCAGTTATATGGAATTTACCAGATAGGAAACTGAAGTTGCAGTGTATCCTTTGATCAGCAAGACAAGTCTTCCATGTTTCTTCACATATAAAACATATGATAGTCAGTGTTTGGCAAAATGGTGCTAAGGAGAATTTTTGGGAAGACGTTATTACTCGAAGCTAGTTGACAACTTTTACAAATACACTTGGTAAATTTGTCTCTTGAGCAAAACATTGAATGATAACTGTTCCATTTGATAAGATAAAATAAATTAAACAACTGGACATTCCATATAATGCATTATTATGCAAGACATCTCATATTCTCATCCATATGGTAACAATTCTGAGGGCAAGGTTATGGCACATTAAGATATGAAAGCTTAGTACAAACAAACTTAAGGAATATCTACATGAGCTCAGTCGATTATTTTTATAGCAGTTGCCAAACAAAAGGATTTACTGAAGTTGCAAACTGACAACCCCACCAAGAATGAAGAAAACTCAAAAATAATTACCACACAACAGAAAGGCTGCAACCTATACAAAGGAAGAGAGTCAAAGCCACTTTCTGAGTAGTGAATTACAAAGTCACATGGGACAACTAAAGAAAAAATACCACAAATACACCATCAGAAACTCCTTGCTCCAACTTTTACATAAGTCGGTTGAGCACTCATCTGACTTTAAAATCATGACTTTCAGAAATTTTGGATTAACCAGCAACTTATTTGGAGCAAGAGGCAGGTGAACAATCTCCTCTTCTTACACAGAGACAATATATACTTGAAATATTTGAATAAATATTCTAATATAATACATTCTAAGAGTTTGGTCATTGAAGGATCATCAGAATGTCCCTGGAAGCTAAACATTAAAATAAGCCTTTGTAATGGGCTACTGGGTGATCTTCATATGATTAGTCCCACAACTGAGGACTTCAAGTCAGTGTGATTATGGAAGAGATAAAGTGATAGCGCCTGGGGAGTTGCGTATGTAATTCTTGTCAGTCGGATGGGAAATACACAAAATCCTGGCTATTTCTGATATAGCTCAAACAGGTCAAAATAAGCATACTATTTCTGCACCTAGTGCCTGTGGTAGAAGGGGATGAACTTTGTGGTGTTTGGGATTCTTTATTGCATCACATTGAAAAACTGGAGTTGGAGGCTAAAATAAGATGGCTTTTTAATGTAAGTGCAAGCTGCCGCTGAACAGGTTTATGCCACAAAAGTTGAGGAGAAAATTAGTGATCACAAAAGAATAATTAGGCATGTAAAAACATAATCGAAGTGAGAAAGAGGGAAAATCTATCGGCCAAAAGAGTTTTTCCATGCTGCAGACACTTTTATCCCCATTGAATTCAAGCATACAAGACCTTACCCTTTCAGTAGCTGAATACCCCATAGACAATATCCTTACCTCTTTCTCAACCCATCTTAACGATTGCAGCCCAGAAATCTACAAAAACTATGTTCTATTATAACCTTTTTTACCTTAGTTCCTTGTGAAAATGCAATGTCACACTCGTGCCATGTTGCTTGTGTCATCGGGAAACTGTGAAGCATTTCAAGTGTAATTATATTGGACAAGTAATTAATAAACTAATCTCTCATGATTGTGGGGTCAAAAAATTTATTTCAAGTTATTGTTGCCTGACCTGAAGTATTCTTCATTGCATCATAAAAATAAATCTCCTTATAGCACAATGAATGAGTTCAACAGCTTGGTTTCTGGAAACCCCTATTAAAATTTCCCAAGTCAATCAAAAAAGAAGAGCAAAGTACTCTCATAAGCCACTAAATACTTGAAAGAAGGTGTTGATATATCCACATCTCCATCAGCACGCTCTATAAAGTTGCGACCCACGTCGACTACACAGTCTAATTCAACACATTAAGATTATAACAACAGAAAAAGCTGAATCCATAACTAACTACACTTCTAATCCGTGATGAACAGATCGAAACCACAACCACCCACCTACTGCGGAAAGCCTGATCACCATTCACCAAGTATTTCAAGAGGAAAGCTTAGCAAAGGATCAAGCGCTAAGTTCCACTACTAAATAGCCTTTGAATCATCTCAACAAACAAATTGCGGGCAATGCAGGACCTTTCTTTTAAAACATAACCATAAACGATAAACTATCAGGAAAGTCGTCATACTGAAGCCAAGCAGACATGATGTTAGACAAATCAGGGAATAGAAAATCTGCCTAGGGATCGGACGGGATCAGAGGGAGGGTGGGAGGGATTGACGGAGGAGACGGTGCAGGACTCACGAAGCTTCTCGGGATTGCCGCGACCGGATTGGAGACGGCGAAGTGGACCTTGTCCCGGTGAACGGCCTCGGAACGGCAGGGCTCGTTGAGGCAGTGGAGTCGGTGATGCACGCCAGCACGCCTCTATCTCTCTCTCTCTCTCTCTCCTCTCGCTCGCTCTCTCGTGGGCTTGATCTCGTGGTGGCTTATTATGTGACGCAACGTGACGGCCCAATCCGGTATACGTAAGCTCTAATCCACATTTCAACATAATGTTATTTTCTTACATCTCCTATTATTTAAATATTAAACGAATATTTTTGTCCTATTCACTTTTTTGGGGGAAAAAAATCGTTCTTAAATCCATTAGACCCATTTCGACATATTTTGATTTTTTTAAGTCCCTGATAATTTGAATATTCAATAAATATTTTTATTTTTCTTAAATAATAATCAAACCTCATATGGTACGGTTTGGTCCAATTGTGCAAAGTCACTCACGTGGATGCTCCAACGGAGGTGGTCGGCGTCATGTTCGGTTCAGGCTTCATCTTTAGAATTGATCCGAGGTAGAGCAAAGAATTGCTCTCGCCTCCTCCCGCCTGGTTAATGCTCCTTTCTTGTCAAGTTCCTGCACATAAGCCAAAGTCGAGAGGGGTATTTCTCGATTTGACCCCTTTAAAGTATAAGTTAGTATCGAGTGGGGTTAAGTGGAGTTGAAATGTTCAAGGTCCTTCCTCGATCAGGGGACCAGCTTTTATACCTATGAATGAGAGTCGGTCATACGTGATTTGTTAATAGCGACTGACTCCTCGAGTTACCAGCTTGTACCTCCTATGCGAGCATCGATCAACCTGCACATATCTGCGCTGCACGACATCATTCCGAGCTTTCCGAAATAGCTCTGTGCTATGCGATAGCGTCTCGTATGACTTCGGACAGTGCAGAAACAAGCGATCGTCCCATCCGAATCCGAGGTGTCATGTCGATGCAATGCACCGTATCAATCATGAAGCTCTACGTTGGCACTATTGTGATCGCTGACTGATGCCACAGGAGTGATACGAGAATATGTCCTATTAATAATAATTCTCAACTTCACATTCATAAGAAAATAAACTCATGGTTATTTACGAGAAAATTAGATAAGTTGTAACAATGATACATCAATAATATCATGATTGAAGCAAGCAATAAGATTTTGATTAAGATATTGAAGCAACCTTCACGATATATTATCAATGTTATTTTTTATTTTATTATTATTATATATACAAAATCACGAGGATAAATTTTTCTCATGTATATAAACAAAGAAATAAAATGTACCTTACACAAAATAGTCTAGTTAGATCAATTGTAAAATATAAATTAATTATCTTCTGATCTGTATGCACCGTTAAAATTAGAGTTACATTAATCCTTCTTAGAGTAATTTAATTTTATTTAAAAAAATAAAATACATAATGGAATATTTTGGTGGGATCATTAATAAGTGTCTTGGGTATAAATTTATGCACGAAGCTTAAGGCGACGATCGGTTGTGAGAGTGCTGAGAATTAATGTAGAAATAGACCTACTCGCTGCATCCAAATTTTGAAGAGAGAGACGAACTCTCCCTATGCTGCCGTCGATATAATTGCTAGCATTGATTTTTGGTTTGGTCGTTTTTAAACTTACAAGCTTTTCATGTGTTTAGGGAAGGCAATTTGATTGGTCCAATAGGCAACAATTTTTTGTTGGACATGGACTATTCCTGACCTATAAATAATTTCAGTTTTTAAAATTTGAAGATCGAAACTGAATTATATAGAGCTAGTTCTAGCGATTCTGATTTGGTTGCAATCATTGTTTTCGGGTTCAGATTCATTTTAGCCTCCTGATTTTGATAATTGATCTCTTAAGTTTACTCATTTAAAATAATTCTTATATTTTTAATAACATAGTATATAAGTTCCTCTCGTCAAATTTGAGTTAATAACATATTTAATTTATGGTGAAAGTCTATTTTAAGTCTTGTGATTTTGATCATAGATTTTTTAAGCTCATATGATCTGCTCATATCTAAAATAATCCTTATATTTTAAAAAAATATATAATATATAAGCCTCTGATATCAAGTCTGAAATAACAGATATTAAACTTTGCTTATGTCGTGTGTTAACTCATAATAAATCATTAATATAATGAGGAACTAGGAGATTACTATATGCTAGTGTCGAATTACTCAAAACACATTCACTTAAGTAAAATCGGAAGCTTTTGAGCTCATCGTTAACATGGGAGAAGTCATGTGCGTACGATGTCCTACTAGGCAATAACGGTTTAGTATTGTTGCTGGTGGTCGCATCCACGATCACACCTCCTCCTACAATTGATGAAGATCTTAGTTTTTTTAAATTTAAATTATATATATTATTATATTAATAGTTTATTATAAGTCAACAGATTTTGATGTGTGTTAATTCAGACTTGACGAGATAAACTTATTTGTTACGTTTTTTAAAATGTAAGAGTTATTTTAGACATAAATAAACCATAAGAACTTAAGAAATCCGTAGCCAAAATCACGGGGGCTATAATGTATCTTAACTCTAAATTACATATGTCATTATATTAATAATTTATTGTGAGTCAACATGTCATGTAAATAGACTAACTCAGACTTAACGATTGAGACTTATATATTATATTTTTTAAAAATATAAAGATTATTTTAAATATAAATAAACCATAAATGGTTGGTAGGTCCATGGTTAAAATCGTAAGTCTAGAATGAATCTTAACCTATTATTTTTTATATTAAAAATAATTTAAAATAAATATTATATATTTTTTAAAATCAACAATCATAAGAATGATGTTATATAAAATTGTATTCTCATGTAATTGTTGGAAACAAATTAAACGACACTTGTGTACACGCATTACTTAGCGATCAAGGAGTTTTGCTAGACAAACTCCCCACTTATTCTTTTGTTGGAAGCAATATACGAGGTATATATATTTTCTGCCTCAAATTGAAATGAGACAAAAGTTTCTTAGGAAAATTCCTTCCTCATTTGACTTTTAATGTTTAGGGATTTTTCTATTCTCATGAGAATTTTCAAAATGCAGTCCAGGTTGAGTCAATTTGACTAAGTGAGACAGACAAAATTGACCTTATTAATTGATATAAATAATCCAATTTATATAAATAAAAAAAAACATCTTTAGAGTCCAAACCTAATTATTTAGATTGCAAAATGTCAATCTTACGATTATTTGCAGTAAGGACCACCTTCTCTTTGTTCCTTTCTTGTTTTAATTAATCAGCGGATAAGTTCATTATTTAATGGAATAAAATTAGTCTCGGGTGCTGTTAGATGCATATTTAGAAAATCTTAATCAATATAAATATTATATTTCCAATTATGCAAAAAAACTTAATTAATAAGTTAAGTGGATATCCATTTTTAATTTTAACCCAAACAAAATAATATTAATATCTCATTTGTGGAATTAATAACTAATATTGTTAATAATTTTTTTTTGGAATCAATACTTCACTTTTGAACAATTTTAATAGTAATATA